GAACATGAAATAGATATGAACCTATGAATTCCAAGAGCAGTTCAGTTCATCTAAAAGTTACATTAACTACTCTTTATCCCATATATACTGCCAGCCAAAAGGCAGAGAAAGCTTAGAAAATAATCTGTAGTCAGACAGTAAGACTCTTTTCCCTCCCTTGCTGTCAGCCAACCTTCTCCCATCAATGTGTCTTTCATTTCACAAAAGCCTTAAAAATTTGCCTGTGACAAGACTTCTTTAGCCCAGTGACTCCCCAGTTCTGTGGACCATCTTCTGGCAAATGTCATGACAGGCTCAGGAGTTCTGAGATTTAGACTGTATGACTGCAATCTGGAAAGGAACATAAATCACTGGAAATTCAGAGAGAGGCGAGCACACTCCATTCCCTCTGCTGTTACTCCCTAAACGGCGTTTGGAGCTCAGCATGGGCAGCAGGTACATCAGCTGAGAGACCTTCTCTCTGCGAGAGGAATTCCTAGCTGACTCCCTGCAAGCAAATTCCCATGCCCTTGCAATTCTTTACCTATATAGACAGGGAAAAACATTATATGAAAATGTCTTTAGCCTAAAAAGTGCTTGAGACATGCATATGGAGAATTCAATTCATACCTGCGAGGGGGGAAAAAATAAATAATTTTTAAAAAAAAAACTAAATCCACATAGATTGGTTGGCACTGGGTCCTGATTTGCTTATGTTGTTCACAGCAATTTTAGGCACACACACACATGAAGACAAGTGGCTACATGTGATTTTTGCTATATGAAATGCTGCGCAAGCCATGCTTTCTTTTGGAACACAAATAAACAAAAATGCTTTCTGCATTGATCAGCACAATTCCTATGAAAAAGCAGAGTCCAATTCAACCTCGTGTAAATTCAAGACAGGTGAATTTGGCCCACTTATTGCAGAGGTGAAAAAGAAGGTTGCCTCTTCTTTACCAACACAGCTAAAATAAACAGTAGCAAAAGACAGTGTCATCATGCTCAGACTACACATAGAAATCCTACTTGATCCAAGTAATGAGAAAAAGTTCACTAATGGAACCAAAATAATAACAAGATGCCTTTAAGATACATTATTATGCAATACATTCCTGCATGCCATGCTTCACACAGACATTACTTACAGCCCATTTTAAGAAGTTATGACCAGACAATTCATTAATCAAAAAACCATCAGGCTTGCATCCTGCAAAGTGGAATCAGGACTTCAAAATTATTGCAAGTACACCAGAACTATAAGAACTTAATTAGTAAGAGAGCACATCATTGAGCATCTTATTTAAAAAGGGAAAAAAAGGAGGGGCAGGGGGAAGGTATCTTTGAATGCAAGCCTGTGACTACCATGGAAGCAACCAGGGGAAAGGAGACGTACACAGCTACTCTGCTGTAGGCACACATCTGAGGAAGAACTGTTATGTGGGGTCATGGTTTCTGTCTCAGTCTCCTACCCTGCTCCAAGTCCACATCAGTAACCCGTCCTCGATGCTGGCCAGCTCTGCCACCTGCCATAGATGCAATGAGATATCCTACGTTCTTTTCCTTTCTTCTTTTTCTTCTTGCTTCAAACCTCCATAGGTGGTTAGGACGGAAGGGGTAGAGGCAATTTCACAGCGCTTGCTTCCTATACACCCTCCACCAGCGATGCAGAAAATAAAAGCAAAGTGAAGAGGGAAATCTGTTCTCTTATACACGGCTGCCTTGGGCAAGCTGCAAGTCTGCTCTTTTGAGTTCCTCCCGTCCTCTACCCAGTTGATTTCTGGCTCCAAATAATGCCCCAGCATGCCAAGAACACTGGAGGCAGCACACTTGCATGCCCACGTGCCCATATTTCTGCCTGTAGAATTGTACTATATGGAGATTATAGAAGACAGAGCCATGTATTCCCAAGTTTTTGCTCTGCAAAATTAAAATCGACACCAGCTCTTTCTCCTCTTCCTTAGCTACTCTTGGGCACAGCCGGCCACAGTATGCTGTAGACCAGCAGTGGGTAATAAATAGTTTGACAGGTCTCTGGGACTTCTTCCTTACATATAGACATGAGTTTGTTAAAGTTGCACCAGACACACAGCTTTTGAGGATTTCATTCCTGATTCCTTTGACAAAACTCTCATCCTTTCTGAGATAGATAAGAAACTTCCAAAGAATGATTAAATTCATAGTGAAGCCAATGAGAATTCAGCTTGTGAATTCAAGATAAACCTACAACATCCTGCAATCTTGGATGCAGTGGAGTTCTTCCCGCACAAGGTAATTTCTAAATTCATGCAACCCTACTTGTCCATGTCTTGGTGGAGAGGGTACATTGAGAGTGGGAAGGGCCATAGTCAAAGCTGACTGCATTTTGTCTTCTGGATGGGGGACCAGCGCTGGCATCACTTAGAGCGATTCTGTCATTCATATAAACTCAGTAAGCTCACGTGACAGCTACATCTACACCACAATCAAGAAGTAGGAGCAAATACTCTAGTAGAGGTGTAGTGTATCACAAAGACTGGCAGTTACAAAAGGTTATATTAGCTGTGAAGATGCAGTAGCAGTGATTTCAGTTCAGACTAACTATCCAAGTAGATCACCAGGCACGCTGAAGGCTCTGCTACTCCATCTCCATTGCTTTTATGTTATAACCACAACTGCCAGTGGCACTGCTGACACACTTCAAAGATCGGGAGGATTAACAGAACTTTCCCAGAGATGGCTGGGCATTCCCCAAGTCCGAGACCACCTTCCTTGGCATGCTGCAAGATCAAGCTTTCAAACCACTAAAATGGCAGACAACTGAAAATGCAATCCACACAGAGCTAATCCTGCTATCAGTGCACATTTTGCTATTCAGTCAAACTGGAACCAGCTCCAGCCTTAATCAGTCACATCTTCCATTGAAGGAGAGCTGGTATATGCTTAATAAAAGTCTGCATAAAATATTACAGTTATGCCAATTACTGTTGAATTTTCAGCCATATTTTTTCATTACTTTCATTGGCTCACGTAACTACTCAGTTGCTAATGAAGCTAAGCTAACCCTCCTTCAGAAAAATAATTTTAAAAATATTTCACAAGGCTAAAAAACTGTGATGACTTACCAGAAAAGTCACACACATGACTTCCTATATCACAGCTTCCTCCAGGCTAAACCACCTTCTTTTCTTTTAGGATATATGGCATATTTAGATCTACCTTGCCTGGGTTATCTGACAGAATAGCAGTCATCCAAGCAGTAATTCAATATTCACTTCTACTGTTCTGTAGACTTTCTAAAATGTGTTTCCTTAGGGATTTTCCCCATTATAGCACAGAAACTGAAAATAAAAAACCCCCAAAGTTTCCAAACAGAATAAGGGCCTGATATACCAAGCTAACTCCATGCACTGAGAGATCAGAAGAAGAAAAGTATACAAAAAAATATTAAGTCCTTTAAAAGCTAACCTAGTGAGTGGGTAAAGTGGCCCCAGTTTATGTGGTATTAGGTGCTTTGTAGATGAGCCCCCCACAAACTAGCCTTTTAATGAGCACGTCTGGGAGTAACTGGGAGGGAAGGAGTGCGTGCAAGGCTGGAGCCTCTCTCCATCTGTGAGAGGCAAATGAAGGATTTCCCCCATCACTTGCTACCCCTGCTCCCCTTACAACAGCTGCCCGGTTTCTGTAACTGTTGAAGGGGTGGAAATGTGCCAGAGCAGTTACGAGAAAGCTACCAAAGGACTAATGTTTAGCACTGGAAGTTTGCAAACAAAATTATCAGATCTGTTTGGGCCTGGCAGAAAGGAGGAAAAACCTGGGTCTCAAGACTTTCCTCTGTAAAATACAATGGTGAGCTCCCAGGTCTGAAAGGCAACACCTGGTGACAGAAAATGAGGAGCAGGCAGGTTCCAAAGGAGGCTATTAAGTTAGGAGTAAACCTGACAGTTTCCCACATGGCCCTTGTAGCTCAGAGCCTGTCAAATACAGCCCTTCAGGGAACAAACTAGGAGAGAGGTCTGCGGAGTGGGATGTTACAGCGATCACTGCGATGATCTGCAAACTTTTCAGACCAGCAAAACCATTTCAAACTCTTATGTGCCCACAATAGTGTAAAATTGAATCAAAAACTCTATAGTACTGAGGATGACTTATAAGGCTTAAGATCATTCTGCTGCTCTCAGCTGTAAGGGCTCATGACGGTTTTGCAGATCACAATCTGGGAACCCCAGGTTCTCACTCTGGAGAGCATGACATGCACTTATTTCCCAGGCACGAGGGCCTGAGAAATTAAGATGATGCTGAACTGATGCTATTCTAAGAAATTAAGCCAAAACCTTAAAGCAGTAAGTCACCTTTTTTTCTTTCCAAAGAGGGAAAGGAATACCGGGTTTATGTTTGATCCACAACACTTCTTTTCCCCAGCTGAAAAGCCGTGCAGAGGTGCCCCAGAGGGCTACTCATGTTTGCTACTTTTCTCTGCAACAGGTTTGGAGAAAAGGGGAGGTTTTCACATACCCTTCTGATCACTGCGTGGAGCAGGGAAAGACTATGACTGTAGGGACTTCTGACCAGGAGTGGGGAATGCAGTCCTTCCCCTCCCCACAACAGATTGCCAAAAGGAGCTGCAAGCAACCACACTCATCCTGGAGAGCATCCCAAGAGCTGGGTAACCACAAAGTTAATGAGAGAAAATACACAAGAAAACAGGCA